AAAAAAAAAAAAAAGTAAATTTTTAGACATCTTCATGCACGAAGGTGGCTTTATTAAAGCAGGGGACAGGACTGTGGACTGAAGAGCTGCACTGGGATTGTGAGGAGTTACTGATTATATACTTAGGAGTTGGGGAGAAAGGCAGGAACTTTCCAGCGGGATTTTCACCATGCTGAAGAAGGCCTGCTGTGAGATCCTGGAAGCTCAGCTGTCAAGTTAGCATGTTTTCCCATTTAGCAAAGCATTAATTTAAGACAGTAGGGAGTTCCTGGAAGAATGTCTTACCTCTTGTCTCAAGTATTTGTCACAGGTTATAAGGAAATTTATTCATGCTTTCTTTGGTTCTTTTGTTTGCACACATCAATCACACATTTGTAATACTGATGTCAGTGTGGACTGAGTAAATTGAAACTGTTTTTAAATCTTTTTTTAATAGGTAAAGTGAGCTATTGAATCTAAGAACGCTTAAGAAATAAATCTTTGACTAGAATATCCCTTTGTTTCCGAGAAGGCAGGACGCTTCTTAAGAATGAAGAGGTAGAGGGGCCTGCGCGCAGAATGGTTGTTGTCCGACTTCAGCCAGGTCACGATCTGGCGGTCCTGGTGGAGTTCGAGCCTGCCGCTCTGGGCTGATGGCTCAGAGCCTGGAAACCTGTTTCTGAGCCCTCAGGTTCTCCCTCTCTCTGCCCCTCCCGTTCATGCTCTGTCTCTCTGTCCCAAAAATAAATAGAAAGTTGTTTTTAAATAATAATAAAAAAAAAGAATACAGGTAGAAGTTTTGTAGTAAATTATGGGGCAAGTGAGGCAGAGAAGGGGATCTAGACAGTAGTCTTCTTCAGCTTGCCTGGTCCCCTTCCAATGAAAGATTATTGTAAATTCAGGTGACTCAAGGCCACTTGTCCCCATTTCTGTCTTGTGAAATGGTGACCGACAGGAATGCAGAAGGGAGAAAACAAGCTGAACCTAAGGCTGCTCAAGCAGGGAGGTCCCCTTTCCTTTTATCGTATTACCACTCTGATTTGTTACTCGCTGTGGATCTCAAAAATCCACCCCATTTTCTGATCCTCACCATTGAGTTTAGATGATCTGGGGTTTGGGCGTTAAGGGCAGAGAGGCAGAAGGGGGGCAAACGGAGAAAAAGAGACAAGGATGTAAAAAGAAAGCTGCTTGCTGTCAACCAGCCTTCCTGGTTCCTACTGTTCCCTCCTCGGCCGGGCCTCAGGGCTCACAGGGCTAATAATGGCCAGCCTTAAGAGGGCGTCCGGCGACACAAGTGTCCACTCCTGCAGAACAGGCCCCGCTGAAGGCAGGACGCGGGTGCGGAGAGGCACAACGCAGCCGCTGAGGGCACGGGCGCCTCGTCCTCCCGCGATGGCGCCGCCACCACCGCCAGGAAGAACAGCCAGCGAGCCTCGCGGAGAGTAGCGGGGTCTCACCTCGCCCCCTGAGCTGCGGGGCCCGGCGCACCGCGCACAGTTCCTCCATTCTAGCCGCCCGAGGCCCCGGTCCGCGCGGCGACCTCGACCCCGGGCGGGGTTTGACGCTGTCAGCCCGCGCCCACCTGCGACATCCTGCTCCTCTCTGCCGGAGGCCTGCGAGAGGTGGCAGGCCCCGTGTTCCGAGAGGAACGCCCGGAGGCCAGGCCGGGGGGTGAGCATGCCCTGTTATCCGGCCGTGAACAATGGCCGAGGCCGGGCGCCGAGGAGCCCGGGCGCCGGGGGAGCTGGCCCCGCCCGCCGGCTGGCCTCGAGTCAACGCGGGAAGCCGGGCTGCGCCGCCGTTCTCGTTCCTCGGCGCCCGGCACCGTGGCGGCCCGGTGGGGAGCGTTGCAGCCGCAGCTGCCGCTCTGCAGAGCGGCCCGGTCGGCCGGGCGCCTGTTCCCACTTTTCTCCCGCCGCTGCGAGCCAGGAAGTCCAGACTGGGCTCCCCGACCCTCACTGACCCCGACGCCCCCAACCCCTTCGTGCAGAGTTACATCTCCTGCCTCCAGAGGGTTAAGGTGTGAGCGGGTGGCGCCGGGAGGACTCGTGGAGGTAGAAAGGAGGTTGTTTAAAGCCCAGGAAAGATGGGGATGGGGATCCAGAAAAGAGGTGGGTGGCAGAAGTTTGGGGGTGGGAGTCTGGGGAGCACAGTGGGGGGGCGGCAGTGGATGTATGAGGAGTCCTGAGAGGGCGCGGATACAATGAACAGCTCGAAGGTGTGGAAGAAAGGACAGGGACGGAGAATCCCAGAGGACCCGGGGAAGGGGAGCATTTTGAAGATACTGGGAATTGTGGTTATCCTGTGGAGGCCGATGAACTAGGGATGGAGGTGGATACGGAAAAGCCGGCGGTGGGGGTGGGGGCGTACTGCGCTTCGGAGGCTCGGGAATTAGAGGGAAGAGGTTTCAGACCCAGAGCCTGCGCCCCTTGGGTCATCCACCCCCCCCTTTTTTTCACCCCCCACCCCCAACACCCTCGTAGCACCCTGGTGGGGGGTAGGGGTTGCTGGAGAAAGGGCAGGCTACAGGAAGTGGAGGGCCGCACCAGCCTAGGGGGAACTGGGGGGAAGGGTGGGAAGGAGTAACCAAGGTTTCTGCTGCCCCACTGCCCCGGAAGGCTGGCCCTGGGGCTCGGCCACTGCGCCTCCCCAGGGCAGCCCAAGGAGTCACCCTCACTTAAACCCCCACTCCCTGCGGAGTAGGCCAAGCCTGTTTCCCCATCCTCCAGCACTGGGGAGTTGGTGAGTTGCACTAGTCTGGCCTGGGCCTAAAAAAAGTGGACCTCTGTGTGTTCAACTCTACACCCAGGGCCAAAGTAGAAAGAACTGTGCACCTGGCTTCTGTTGGACAGAGGTAGCTATTTATGGAATGCACGGGGGGGGGGAGGGACTGTCTCCAGCCTGCCATCAAGCACTGTGCTGGGCCCTCTTCCATAGGGTTATCATTAAAATGCTCTTAACAGCTCACCAAGTGCCAGGTGCATTTTATGATCTTTAGGGTAGGTGGGGACCAACCTAAAGATATAAAACATTTGGGTCTGATCCTATTAATGAGGCCCTTTAATCCTCTCTGTTACCCCTGCCCCATTTGATATCTTCATCTCATCTGCACCCGATCCACTTTCTGTTCCCACACCCACTCTGTCTGATCTGTGTATGACAGCTCTCTCATTCCATCCTTGTGGGAGAAGGGAAGCAGTGGGGAGCCGCACTCCTGGTCCTGAAGTGCATTCTCTCCCCACCCTTTGCGGTTCCCAGCCTCCTGGGGGCACTGCTGGCCCCATCCGAGTGTGCTTTAGCCTTATCGCCCTTCTTTCTCCTTCGGGCTCCTTTGCCTGGCTTCAGTGGCTGGTCTCACCCAGGAGCAGCTTCAGAACCACTGCAGGATGGCTGGGAAGCAAGTGGAGCATCAGCCCCTATCCTACTCTCTTCTCTTCCCTTGTTACTTAGTCTCTGCTCCCCTTGAGAAGAAAAGGAGGGGAGGATTCGAATCTCTGCTACCCATCTTAGGTAGGCAAGATGAGTCACCAGGCTCACACCTGTCCCTAGGGACCCAAGAAGCCTGGGGTGAGGCACCCTGATAAAAAAAGGAGGAGGCAGACTTCAGCCCTTGGCAGAGAAGTGATAGAGGACAAAGAAGGGCAGCTGCTTTTCTGGGTGCCCAAGCCTGGGAGGAGTGAGGAAGGACCTGAATCACTGCCGCTGCTCATGGCCAGCCTTGCCCCCACAGGACCTGCAGCCACAATGGGGTGCTAGTCTCAGCCGCCTCAAGCCTCCTGCTGGGCTTCTTCTAATTGTGTCTGGGCCAGCGGCCCTCACTTTCAAGCCCTCGCCCCAGGCCCCACTCTACTTTCTTCTGCACTCCATTGTCCCAAGCCGCCCTGTGACCTGCCCAAGGTTGTGTCCTGCAGGAGAACCTTTCTGTGCCTGTCATTGGAGGTGAGATGCTTAATAAGAGGGCAAGTGGGAGAGATGACCACTCTGGAGCAAAAAAGGCAAGAATCAGAGATGCTGTGGAGAGAACTGGCTCCGGGGAAGGGAGAAAGGATACGGACTGATGCTGGCCAATGAGACTAAATGGACACTTTGTGAACCAACCCTTAGATGCTGAGGGCGTGCTAGAGGGCTGGAGGGATCTCTGATCGTTCCTCAAAGGACAATATGCAATAAAAAAGGAGTGTCCCTGTGGCAAAGAGACAACTGAGAAGCATCTCCATACTGCTGAGGGGAGTGGAGGGTGAAAATGCCCCTGAAGGAAACCAAATGATTCTTGTGGTCCTGCCTGATCCCAGCCCTTCTTCTCGCTTCAAACTGGGCCATCTTAGTATCCCCGGCACGCACCAAGCTTATAGTGGAGGAGGTCCGGCTGGCTACCTCAGGAGGCAAGTGGCCCCAGGTGGGTAAGTGGTCTCAAGAGCTTCTGGCCTTTATATAATTCCCCAAAGAGATTCCCTCTCTCCCTTGCCCTTCAAGCTACCCCCTCCTCATTCGGATCCCCTTTTTCCCCCAGGTACCAGTTCTTTCTTTCCTGAGGCACCTTGAACCCACCAAGAAGGCTTTGCTTAAATTCAACCAGGTGAATAAATGATAGTAAGATAGGGTGGTAGTGGGAAAAAAGCAGCCCAGATTTACAGAGTCTGGACCAACCCACATGGGAGTGGGAGGGCAGGGAAGAGAGATGGGAGACTTCCTAGCTAACCCCTCAAGTCTCCCAGGAGTCAGAAAGAAACTTGACAAGAAATGGAGCAAGTCCAGGTGTTATTTCAGACCTGTCTCAACACTTCATGCCTTCTAGCTACTGAATGAACCAACCTCTGTCAGGGGTGGGGGTGGAAATGATTCAGGAGCCTCACAGGGGGTTCCTGTGCAACCTGTCCTCATCCGGACACCCCAACAGTCTGGTGAGTCTGAGTTCAAGAATGGAGGGTGGGGTGCACAACCACCCCTAAATGGGAAATCATGGAAACTGAAGTGCTCTTGGTGGATGCATGTGGGCTGGGGCGGGGCCTGCCCAAAGAGAATGGGCCAGCCAGGGAAAGAAAAGGACTGCCTTCTCCCCTCACCTCTTCCCAGGGACACCACCAGCTGGGGCATGGAGGGGCCTGGAGTAAGTCTTGGTGTTGGTTCCTGGGGTGAGGTGGGAGCAGGGCCTGTCAGAGAATCTCTGGCCCCGGCTTTCCACCTCCAGACAAAGCCAATGGACCTCTTCTATTCCTCAGATTGAGAGAACTCTCAGAGAGAAGGGCGCCCTGGTTTTGTTCTGATCTCCAGGTATAACCTGGAAGCCAGCCATCCCCACTCCAATCATTCCTGCTGTGATTACAGCTCCTTTTTTTAACTTCCTTGGCCCAAGTGTTTCTAAGTGATCTTCTCCATCAGCCATCTCTTCCTGAAAACCAGCAGGTGTCTCACCTTTTGTGCAGTCACTCACACCTCTTCCAGCGCTCTTCCTCAGGCATATACTATTGGCTTTTCCCTACCACACCTTCTGGCCCTTCCTCTGTCTTCCCCTACTGCAGGTCTATCCAGCTGACTGTGTGGTTAGGAGTCTGTTTTATATGAATAGGTAGAACTTTCCCACTCCCTCCTCAGGGTGGGAAGACCCCTATTAGAGATTGGTGAGCATCTGAGGTCTCTCTTCTCTCTTAGACTTAAAGTCCTCTGGCTCACAGCCTCAGCCCTTCTGCAGCATCGCGGGATCGGAGGGGATGACATTTGACTCTACCCCCCCCCAATTACCACAGCATGGGTGATAGGAAATGGGCACGGGCCTCTAAGGGATGAGAGAGGGAGGGGACACCATAGCTTGAGGTCCTGATGTGTGTGTGTGTGTGTGTGTGTGTGTGTGTGTGTGTGTGTGTGTCTTTTCAGTTCTTCCTGTGTACCACCCCAGCCCAGAGGAGAGCAGGAAACTCACCCTATGCCAACAATGTCCAGAGGTTATGGCACAAGTGAGTTACCCACAAAATACTCCTGGAGCAGATACACAGGGCATAGGAACCACAAGAGGGAGGCCGAGGTTCCAAGGCAAGATGGGGAGGGGCAGTGGACTCATCCGGCTGATAATAATCAAGCAGCTAGCAGGGCCTGGTCTCCTCTCCCTGTTCAGCAGCCCAGACTCGGGTAGCACCTCAGAAGAAAGTCTTCTTCCTGTTCTCCATTCCATCATCACTTCATCCTCTAGGGCCCGGGCATTCCAGCCACCGAGTGTGAGTTTGTAGGAGTTGCCTGTGATCGTGGTGGGCCTGAAGGTGGGGCACTGGGAGCCACAGCCTGGGAATTTGGGAAAAAAGTGTTGGAGAGCTGCAAGTGACCTGAACATAAGAGTATGGTCAGTGTCACTTAGATAGAGAAAAAAGAAGAGGGAGAAATGCAAGAAGGAAAGTCTTTTTTTTTTTTTTTTTTTTTTTTTTTTTTTAGTTTATATTTATTGAGAGAGAGAAGAGAGAGAATCCCAAAGCAGACTCCCACACTCAGCTCAACTCTGCCTATTCTCACAACAATGAGATCACACCTGAGCCAAAATCAAGAACTAGATGTTCAACCAAAAGACACCAGGCTTCAAGGAAGGAAAATCTTTTAAAATAATAATAAATAAGAGGTAGCAGAAGAATTTTTTTAAAGATGATGGAGCAAAAGAATTGGTAAAAAAGTATGTAGCGATATTTTTAATAACCAGTGAGTGGTGAGGAATGGCTCGTCCTGACTGTGAGTGAGAGCAATATCTTAGAAAACACCAGATACACCGTGGTGGAGGAATGTCATGTCCTGTGTCCAGGAAGAAGATGAGTAAGCTGTCTGCCTTCAACATTTTGCCAGGCTGTCCCCGGCCATGTGGGATGCTAAAGCACAGCCTGAGTCTAATGATCAGCCAGGAGGATACAGGCGGGAAGCCACAGCCTCTGATCCTGGGGACGCAGGCTGGAGCCTTCAGCTACTCAGCAGGCGGTAAAGGAGTTGGACAGAGGCCAGAGCCCTGCCCTCCAGAGCTGCACTGGGATTGTGAGGAGTTACTGATTATATACTTAGGAGTTGGGGGAGGTAAAGGTAAGGGGAACTTTCCAAAGGGATTTTCACCATGCTGAAGAAGGCTCAGAGCATCCTGGAAGCCTAGCTATTGTCAAGTTAAGGTTGTTTTCCGCTCTAGCAAAGCATTAATTTTAAGACAGTAGGGAGTTCCTGGAAGAATGTCTTACTCTCCTTGTCTCAAGTATTTGTCAATGGGGTGCAGGTTATAAGGAAATTTATCTGCGTTTCTTTGCCTTTGTTTCCCCACATCAATCACATTGTACACCTTAAACACTGATGTCAGTGTGATCTCGATAAATCTGAAAACGGTTTTTAAATTTTTTTTAATAGGTAAAAGTGAGCTATTGAATCTTAAGAACGTTTAAGAAATAAATCTTGACTAGAATATCCCTTTGTTTCCCTGAGAATGGTGACGCTCTTAAGAATACAGGTAGAGGGGCGCCTGGGTGGCGCAGTCGGTTAAGCGTCCGACTTCAGCCAGGTCACGATCTTGCGGTCCGTGAGTTCGAGCCCCGCGTCGGGCTCTGGGCTGATGGCTCAGAGCCTGGAACCTGTTTCTGAT